CAAAAAGACCAGAACATCTCCTTGCCAGCAGTCATCACCCAGATAAGCAGAGATTAACACCGGACAAACAATCAAGCAGTAAACAATACCCTAATTAAGGAACTACCAAGAAAACAAAACCCACACCCCCACCAGCACTGGCAGGGCATGCCACAATATATAAACAGAGAGCAAACCCCACTCCCTTCTAGCACTGAAGATGTTACCTAGCCGGGTAACGAAACATCTGCAAGAAAACAGCCAAGCTCAGAGAACCCCAAGGGTGCCACAGTTATCAATGGCTCTGATGTGGGGGATTATCACAAACGTAGCAGACCTTTGATTTAATTGTACCGTATTTTTACTATGATTGTTTTTCTTTTTTAGGCAATGATTGTGAGAAACGCAAAAGACACAGCTCACACAAAAGCAGAGCGGAATATCTTGGAGGAGGTCAAGCATCCATTCATTGTCGACTTGATTTATGCCTTTCAGACTGGTGGAAAACTCTACCTCATCCTCGAGTATCTCAGTGGTAAGTGTGCGCTGGTTATCAAAATGTGGATTTTGAGTCCACCAACAGTGTGGGAGGAATTTCAGTGCTTTCTTTTTCCCACAGAAAAGACTATAATTTTTAGAAATGGGCTGTTTTGTAAATCTTACATGGTGCAAGAGAAGGAAAATGGGATGATTCATTTTGGTCCAAAACTCTGCTAAACTTTTTTTTCCCCCTAAAGGAGTTTCTCTAAAGAAACCTATCCTTATATCCATTTTCCCAAACTGCCCCTTTTCAGGCATGCTCTCTAGCAAGATGGTTGCATTTCTGGAAAAGTCACAGTTGTGCCCAGCTGTCTATTACAAGGCAGTTTGTGAATCAAATGCAGGTGTGGCCAACTCTCAAAAGAAAAAGAGAAATTGTCTGGAATGCCCCCTTGGACCTGGAGTTCTTGTAGGGCAGCTCGTTGGGTCTTTCTGCCATGCAGCCATCTGCATCCCTGTGCCTGGTAGCATCTGTCTCATACTACTTTCCTAGGGATGGAGCAAAAAAACCAGCTTGCTTTTTACTGTGCCTGTTCTCCCACTTTCATTTTAGGAGGAGAACTCTTCATGCAGTTGGAGCGAGAGGGGATATTTATGGAAGACACTGCTTGGTAAGAGACAGAAAATTTCTTCAGCTCCATCAGGGCAGACTAAGGCAAGAGCTGACCTGAAGAACTTAGGAAGTCACTTGTAGAAGAAAAGAGTTGAACAGAGTTGGGGAGACACATGACAGCTTCCTGTTGAGTGCATTTACACTTCCCAAATTTCAGAGAGAAGGCCATATTGGCTAGGGCACTTGGGGAGTTGGAAGCTGAATATGCCTAGGGGTGCCTCATGGTTTGTCACAATATGAGTGTAAATGTAAATATGGTGCTTCATTTAGATAGTTATATAAATACCACTAAATATGGCCATGAAGCCACAGTGCGCCTAAAATAGCTCCTGCTGAAATAAACTTCTCCCTCTTTTTAAAGTGCTACTGCCATATGCTAACAGATTTTGCCAAATATATAAATGCTGCAAATACTACCTAGAATTAAATATCCTATTACATTCCAACAGGCTCATTCAGTTTTGTACTAAAAACAAATTTCTGGGCTTAAAATGTCATCTGCCTGGTGATCTTGTGGTTTTCGTCACAGAAAATAGGCTGAAGTCTGTCTGACCTTGGGGCTCTCCCAGTGTTTGATCAATAATTAACACATTGGAGTCATTGAATGTTTTTAAAGAATGATCATGAGGTTTGGGGGGTGGGTGGGAGGCCATGTATGCAGGTATGTGAATTTCTTTGGCTCCTTAGCAAAAAACTGCAGTTAAAGAGCACATGACTCCCATCTCCAGTCCTCACTGCAATGGAGGCAGTGTCTGCTATTGAATGGTACCCTTTATTGGCCAATTTAAAAAGGCTCCCATCCTCTCTGCCACATTAAGAGTGGAGCTGAAGGAGAAAAGGGGCCAACTGCTGCCCTTAGCTGTTCAGAAAGTCTGGAATATATTGATGCTGCTCTCCATCCTTGCAGCAGGAAGGGAGAGGTGGAAGAACATCCTTCGTGCTTCTTCTGTAAGGCTTACTAAGCTGAGCAAGACCATCCATCTAAACGGAAGATGGAGGTCCATCCTGTTCAGAAACATAGAGCCCAGAGAATTTATTTTCTCTCTATACCACATGGGACGTTGAGAAATGGTGTCATTGCCCCTGTTTGGGAAGGAGGAAGTTTGGGTGCAGGAGGGTTATGGGGCGTTGAATTTTCTGGCTTTGAGTCCCTGCTGTTCTGTTTCTGTCCCTTGGGCCAGACTGAAAAGTAGCTACGGAGAAACTGAATTTCAGGCTCTGTTCAGATATTACGCTAAAGAGCTGTGACACCTGTAATTGGCCAGCAGGCCAGTGTTAAAAGCAATAGCTTGAAATGGAATTGTAGGCTGTGATTTATCTGAACATGCTTTAGCCTCACCACTGAAATTATGGTTACTGTTCTTCCCCTGGGGCTACTACCCCCAAGGTGGGGACAAGGAAACCCAGCCACACTAGAAGCTGGAGTAGTGAGCGAGGGTACAACTAAGCCAAACAAGCAGCTATAAAACTTGGAAGCTCACCCCACTCTTCAAGTGCCACATCTGAGATTTTGCACTGATATTTATTTATTTATTTATTTATCCAATGTACATGGCTGTTCATCTATCCTTTGGGACTCTGGGTGGTGGAGAACATAAGAGCATATCCAGTCCATTAAAAAAACATTAAAAATCTGTTGAAACTATTAAAAACCATATGTGATACCTAGCCACTCATGTTTATTTCCTAATCAACTTTTGCATTGTAGTTTCTACTTGGCTGAAATTTCAATGGCATTGGGACACCTGCATCAGAAGGGAATCATCTACCGTGACTTAAAGCCAGAAAACATCATGCTGAATCACCAAGGTTAGAAAGACCGTTACCGAGCCCTTTCTAGCAAGTTTTTTCAGAGTTCACTGAAACCTTGATGTGACTCTGTAGAGCATATTTCCCCACCTGACAGTCAACATATCTGCTGGGATGACAACTTTCAGGATTTCTGGACGGCGTAAGGACAGCTGTCCCACCATCTGTGTGGGGAGTCCCACAGTTTACTGCCTGAATGCACACTTTGATTGTAAATCCCTTGGACATGTCTGGTGAATTTGATTGTGAATCCCTGTGGACATGTCTGGTGAATTTGGAGCCTGTCTGGTGAATTTTAGGATCAGATTTTTGAAAGCTTTCATGGTCTTTCTCAGCTTGACACCCATGAGATGAGTTGCTTACATCTCCCATTATTTTAGCCACCAAAAAGAAACAGGCAGGGAAAACAGGCTTAGAGCCTGGCCTGCTAGCAGCAGGTCTTTCCAGGGATGGCCCCTATTTTGCAGGGTACCTGTCCTTGAGATACCTGCTTGGCTCCATCTTTTTCAGGGTTTAAAAGGCCAGCCTATTCCCCAGTTGTTGGCATTTAGGGTATGTTACTTCCCAGTCACAAATGCATGGTATTTTAAATGTATATTACCTGTCTGTTTTTACTCTTCCCTCACTTCCTTTTTGATTTTTTTTTTCAGGTCATGTTAAGCTGACTGATTTTGGACTATGTAAAGAGTCCATTCACGATGGAACAGTCACACATACATTCTGTGGAACAATAGAATACATGTGAGTCCATCTGATGAGACAGAAAAGTATTATGGTGGTCAGGGGAAGTATTTACATTTTCCCCTTCAGATAAACCTGTCTAGTGGTCAGAGCAACCCATGAATGTTTCCAGTTTAAATTAAAAGAGGACCCCCCCCTTGCCTCCCAGATTGCTTGAGAAGATGAGAGGGATCTTCCTCAATTTAATGTCCTTTAGGTGTGTTGGACCTCAACCTCTGTAATTTCCTGTCAAGTCAAGAGGACACCAGGCTGACGAAACTGATTCTTCAGCAAGCAGGACTCTGTAAATTTAATCTAAAAGTTGTATTTGCCCTCAAAAAAAGAGTTACCCTTTTGCAAGTTCCTACAGAATTCTTTATTTTCTATTTAGTTACTGGATTTATATTCAGGGGTTCAAGGCAGCATATCTAAGCACGCCTTCCTTCAATTTTTCTCCTCAGTGACAACCCTGTGAGGTAGATTGGGCTGAAGCTTAGTACCTTTCCTTGCCTGAGGGTGGACTTGAAATAGGATCTCCCCCTTTGTCCTCCAACACTCTAATTCAGGGTTTCTCAACCTCAGCAACTTTTAAGATGTGTGGACTTCATGCTGGCTGGGGAATTCTGGGAGTTGAAGTCCACACATCTTAAAGTTGATAAGGTTGAGAAACCCTTTTCTAATTACTGGAATCATGCTGCTTAATGGTTTGATAAGGTGCTGGTTTGATAAGATGTCTGACCTTTAAGATTTGGAAGTTTGTTCCTTGATTGGCATCCTGAATTTTGGAAAACAGTGTCACCATGCATGTGCTAGTGAGATCTCATGAGTATCACAAACAAGAAAGAGACATGGTACATTTTACTATCTGCAAAGCAAGATGCCATTTAGTTTGGTATCCAATTATGCAATGCCATGAAACTGATCCTTCACATGAAACCACATAACGTTGTGCGACATTATAATGCTATGTATCCATTTGGTGACTTTAAGTTACTCATTTCAAAAATCTTACCCTCTTACCGATGAGTTGGTTTCACTGAGATGATAATCCGCTGCAGAATGTGTTGAATAAAGGTCACACCAGCACTGGCTCAGCTTGATGTTTCAAGAGAGGCTGACACTAAACATGATTCTATGTATAGCAAGTTGGCAAAGCTAGTCACCTGGAAGTAATGGTTATTCACCACAGGTGAGTGGCTATTACTAAATGCCTGTAGGTGCTCTCCACAGGATCTTTAATTGTAATCATTACATGTTCTGATGCTGTGATCGGTTGTTCTGATCCTTGCTATTTGCGTTTGATTTCTTTTTAGGGCCCCTGAAATTTTGATGAGGAGTGGGCACAACCGTGCTGTGGACTGGTGGAGTTTGGGGGCATTAATGTATGACATGCTGACTGGAGCAGTAGGTGCACGCTTACAAACTGCATGTTTTATTTTGTTTTGAAGCATGTTTCATGTCTTTAGAGAATTTGCCATATTGCTTTGGGGAACTTTACCTGCCTGTTGCTAGGAACGTGTGGTTAGATTCTCTGGCTTTGTAAAAATCTGGTTTATTTAGCCACTTCTGGTTTATTCAGAAAACCGAGGTGAACCTGCCTGTATTCTTTTACTCTACTTCTTGGAGTGACATCCCTGTTCCCATTTACACTGATCCGGTTGATTCAAAGCACTTACAGGTGTTCACAGCATGTTTGTTTGGAGGGAAATGAGATTGGGTTGGGGAGATGGCAAACTAGCGTCTTGTCTGTTGGCTCCAAGAATGGCGGTGCTAGGTTTTAAGTGCCGATCAAAATCTCTAGCCTTCATGATGTGCGTGCGGCTTCTTTTGCCTCTCAGAATTGTATAGTTGAGATTAGCAGGCAGCTGCTACTGAAAAACAGCAATTTTCTATGATGGTAATTGTGATCGGCGTTTCTGTCGCTCAGTGATGCAGTCATAAAGTGCACTGTCACATGACCGCATCGCTTAGCGACTGCAAATTAGGCAGTCCCTGTTGCCATTGTTAACTGAGGATCATGGGTCATTAAAGCAAGGACCTCCTGGCGACTTCCTGCCGGCTTCCCACAAGCAAAGTCAGTGGGGAAGCCAGCAGGAACGTGCGAGTCCCAGGTGGCTTTCAGGCAGGCTGACAGGTGGGTAAGGGGCTGCTGTGGCATGAGTGTAGCCAGAGGTTGTGTGGGTGGCTGGCATGGCTGGGCCGGGGGTGGCTGCTGCTGGGGGTGGGAGGGTGCACCAGTGGCTGCTGCATCACCGCGCGAGCAGGGGTGTGCTATAGACATGGGTGGGGGGTGCTGTGGGCACAGGCGGGGGATGCTGTGGGCAGGCGTGCTACGGAGAATGAAATCCCTGGGATCCCATACTCTGTAGCCAGGGTCCTCGGGAGAAAAAGTGGTGGGAGTGGGAGCGACTTACAGGAGCGACTTGTGACCTTCCCTGCTGACTTCTCCATTGACTTTGCTTGTGGGAAACTGGCAGGGAAGGTTGCAAATCACAATCACATGACTGTGGGACGCTGCGACTGTCAGAAAGGCGGGCTGGTCACCGAGCGTCCAAATTGCAATCATGTGACCATGGGGGTGCTGTGACAGCCGGAACTTTGAGGACCGGTCATAAGTGCCACTCGTTCAGTGCCATTGTAACTTTGAATGGTCGCTGAACGAGTGGTTGTTAACTGAGGACTTCCTGTAGTTATAAAATAGCGCACAATCACTCCCAGTTTCCGTCCACTGGCTGGGCTGAATGTGCCACCCAAATCATGTCAACTTTGAGGTTGCAGCAGGCTTGAAAATTGAATCCCTTAACTCAGTGGTTTTCCTGTTGGGCTTGCAGTCCAGGTACTGATTCCTTTCTGTGTGCTTACTGCTGAAGTTGTAGACAGAGTGTCCACATTGTGTGTGTCAAAAAGTCAAGATGGTGGTTGTGACCCTGTGTTGAAAGCTCTGCCACTTTTTACATACATCACATCCATGCCTGCTGTATTGACTTTCTGGTCACCCTCTGTGGTGGACACCCCACTTTATAATAGCCAGGTTTGGAAATCAGTTTTAACAGGCATGTTTAAAAGCAAGGAAGTAGAAGCAAAATCTGTTTTGACAATGGACATTATATTATGTGATGCACATTTCTTACGGCTTCTCCTTCCTTCTCTCTTTTCAGCCCCCTTTCACTGGGGAGAACCGAAAGAAAACTATTGACAAGATTCTCAAGTGTAAACTCAATTTGCCTCCCTACCTCACACAAGAAGCCAGAGATCTGCTTAAAAAGGTGAGACTCTTACAGGGCAATCCCAGAGGTTAGCTCAAATGTAAATTCATAGTAATTTTTTGAATTTGCTATATTTCTGTAGCTTCTGTGCTCAGTTATGAGTTTAGAATGAACAAAAAGTTCTTTGATCTGAATTGCTATCCACTGTTTTCCCAATGAATGACTATTTATGTTTCAATAAGCCCTTTCAAAAAAAAAAAATGCCTCTAGCTTTTGTTTGTACACAGTTGGTGATCTTGGTAAATACAGGCCTGGAAATTAGCAGATGAATCACGTGGATCTTTGTCCAGAATATTTCAGTATAGGGTATCTCTACTAGCAATAGCTTCTCTCAACTTGGTGTTCTCCAAATGTGCTGAATTACAATGTATGTAATTCCTATATCACCCAATGCATGTCAGACTGGAGAAGATGTATTTACCAGTTTTATTGTTAATAATAAAGCTGTAAAGTAACTTCTTCCAAAAGAACATACATTATTTTTTAAAATCTATTTACTTTCTTCAGCTGCTAAAGAGAAATGCTGCCTCACGTTTAGGAGCTGGCCCTGGAGATACTGGAGAAGTTCAGGTATGTGATTTTGTTGGAAAATGGTCTCCCTGCCCCTCTGACCAGAAAAATAATTTTAAAAAGGATTGCTTCATGAGCTGGAATGTGTTGGATATAAGCAAGGGTTTTGATGTACTTTAGGAGAGATGTGAAGCTGGTCTGCTTTGCAGCTCAAGCTGATATAGTTCCCTCTAAAAAAAATTGGGAGATGGTGAAGATGTCTGAGGGAGTTTTACTCTCTTGCCTTCTCTTGGAGCAGTTGACAAGGGGAAGTGCTGGGGAGGGATCAGAAAGGATTGCAGCTGATCTGGTCACAAATGTCAAGTGTGGCCCTATTTTTTTCAGCTCTGGTTCTTCCAAAATGAGCCCCATTGCTTCTAAATAAGCATTCTTAGAAGCAACACCTTTGATCATCTCATGGAACAGCTATAGCTTTGGCCACTTTTTGTTTGATGCTCTCCCTTCTAGTTCCTCTTCTAAATGAGTGCTGTAGACCCCTCTGCTTCAGTTTTTATTCTGGTCAAAAACAAGGACTTGTCATTGAGAGTGTTCTGCTCTCCTTGTTTGGGTGCTGACTGATAACAAACGTTTTCTTTAGGGTCATCCCTTCTTCAGACACATCATTTGGGAAGAACTGCTAGCTCGGAAGGTGGAGCCCCCTTTTAAACCCTTATTGGTATGTAACGTGGATATATCCTTGTGGTCTTGAAACACAACAGTCCAGATAAGAGGAGCATGGGAATCAGGGCATGCCATTTCAAACATAGACGGTTTTCTTGCCCCATCTTTCCAAACTTGCCTGAATCAATATTCAGAGCTGTATTTCCCACTTCTCTCGCAAGGGAGTCCTCCTCTGATTCTTCCTCAGTTTTAAATTCATGCTGAAATGCATCCCACAGTTTTAAAGTGACTGTTGCATTTCAGAGGAAACCAGAAGATTGGTGCTGCTAGCAGAAGTGTGCGCCTCCCGTAAACCATTGGGTGGCATTTTTAATGGATAACCCATTGAGCCGTTTCCATAAATTGGAGCTCAGAGGTGCAGCTGGCTATTACAGCCTTCTTCATCTTGGTACCTTCCAAATGTGTTGAAATTGCAACTCACCAAATTCTTCAGTCATACCGGCTAGGAATTCTGGGAGTTGGACTCACATTCATCGGAAGGCCTCCAGATTTGGGAAGGCTGGTGAATTATATCAAAAGTACAGATGTTTGTACTTTCCTGTATAATTACTGTAATTCAGACTTCATAGAGCTCTGGAGTACATAATGTGGTGTTTGGGAGGGGAAGTCTCCTTTGTATCTTGGCCTTTAAGGCATCTCTTCTCAAACGTCCTTTTCTTTGATCCGTGACTCCCTTCCCCCTTCCCCTTGCCTTCATTTCTTAGCCCAGTTGTCCAAAAAGGACCTTCCAGTGGCGGCAGCAGGACTTCAGCACGCTTCCAGGTTTTACATCTACGGAACACTCCTCCGTCCAGAAGCTTTGTCTTCCACTAAGGCTGTTGTGCTTATCTGTTAAACTATAAAAAAAAAAAAAAACTTCCTCAACTTTTGTTTTTTGCAAAGCAATCCGAAGAAGACGTGAGCCAATTTGATGCAAAATTTACACGTCAGACCCCTGTCGATAGCCCTGACGACTCGACTCTCAGTGAAAGTGCCAACCAGGTTTTCTTGGTAAGTAGGTCTGAAGCCGAGTTCTGGAACATCAAAAGCAGCCAAGTCCCCTTGCTCTCTGGGCTGCCGTGATTCAAATTCTCAAGCGTTCTGTGTGGGTGAAAGGAAACAAGATTATTTGTCTACCTTTTTCCCCACCTCAGCCACACCACACCACGCTACTCTATTTCCCTCCTCCTTGGTGCTGTTGCCAGACTGGCTTTATGGAAGGATGTAAGCAGAGTCTTACTATAAGTTCAGTTCTTGCCTGTAGGATCAGCAAGGGCAGGGTCTTCCTTCACAGGGTGGGAGAGAGCCACAGCTCAGTGGGAAAGCACACTCTTTGCAACTAGATAGTCCCAACCTTTAGTGCCAGGCAGCTGGCAGGGAATACACTTGCTCTCCAGACCAGGCTGAGCTAGGCAAGCTTGGGCACTCATATATGTATGTATGTTCTCATTGCAGAGATGATGGGGTTGGTTCTGGGGTGGCGTATTTTCCTTTCATCACAATGCAAAGCACTCATTCTAATTCTTTTTGGTGGGGGCACTTGCTCGGCAACCCTTGTTTCCCTGCTGTCCAGGGTTTTACGTATGTGGCTCCATCTGTACTTGAAAGCGTAAAAGAGAAGTTTTCCTTTGAACCAAAAATTCGGTCACCACGCAGATTCATTGGCAGCCCACGGACACCCATCAGGTATTTCTCTCTCCCTGTTGCTGGATGTTTTGTGAGTATGCGCTTGCTCTTCATAAAACCTTGAGAATCTTTCCCCCAGGGAATGTCAGTTCTTCATCCACAGATTTGCAAACATGATTCCATGCAGCCCTAACTGTGAGTGCTACAGAATGACAGCAACTCAGTGGTGGAAGGGCATCCTTTGTAGTTGAAGGCCCTCAGTGATCTCCAGGTTGGGCTAGAAAAATGGGTGCATGTAAGTGCAGAACCCCTGAATCATTGGCCTTGGCACTACATTACACGTAGTTGGCTCATTTTGGCTTTAGTTGTAATGCAGCTGTTGGGGTTATGTACAAAATGTTTTGACCTTGAGACCTTTTGCGTCAGAAACACTTCGCTTAGCCTATTGTGCAAACCTAGCGTATTGGGGTTTGTTACATAAACTACAGTTAGGCAGCATTCTGGGCCAAATGGGGCTGTGGTTTAAAGCTTCCCAAGTTTCACTGCTTGCAGGAACCAATTTTGTGCCATTGAAATTCTTCCTTACGCTTGTTGCACATCCAGGTTCTGGTCCCCGGTGGAAATTTTCCGGAACCGATACCTGTGTATTTTCCAGAGAATAATGACATAGGATAAGAAAAACTGTTGTTCTTCAACTGAGAAGCAAAATATTTTGTGGGACAATTTTCTAGCACTAGCTTCCCACCTGAAGACAGTGGTGGGGGTCCCTCCTCTGTCTCTTAATTCGGGAATTGGAAATGGTACCTTATTTGCTGCCCCCCCCCCAGTGGGGTGAGGCCCCTCTGCCAAAGTTGAGCACATTTTGGAGGCTCTGTTGTTTTTGGCTTTTATTGCAGAGCACGGGTGGGAATGGGAGCGAGGGCCATTGTGAGGACCTTGTCCCAGGGAAAAGGTTCACTTGAACAGCAGGCGAGGCCTGAAGGCAGGGACCCTGGAGCTAGAGAGAGAATGTTCAGTTAATTTATTGATTAGATTTCTATCCTGCCTCTATTTTGTACAACTCCAGGTGGCATATATAATACTCCTGCCCCCCATTTCCCCCAAAACAACTGCCCAGACTCGCTGGGAGTTGGACAGAATATGAATAATAATAATTAAACACACACACACCCTGTGTGAGGTGGGTTGGGCTGAGAGGGAGGGACTGGCCTTGCCAAAAGGACTAGAACTCACCGTCTCTGGTTTCCAGCCCAGCATCTTAAGCACGACACCAAAGTGGCTCTCAGCTTCGGGGGGTGGGAGCGGGTTGGCTCTGGCGCCACTCACCTGTGAATTGGAGAGTAGAGGTGGGAACCAGGAAGTCAAGCTGTTGAATTCGGTGCTTCTGCCTCTTTCCTGCTGAAAGGCTGTTGGTTTCCCACAATTTTTTTTTTGGGGGGGGGGTAAAACCTCTTTAATGGGTGCTTCTTCTCTTCCAAAGCCCTGTCAAGTTCTCTCCTGGGGACTTCTGGGGACGAGGGAGTTCCTCCAGCGTGGTCAACCCTCAGCCGCCCGTGGAGTACCCGATGGAGATGGGTGGGATCGAACAAATGGATGTGACGGTCTGTGGAGAAGCCTCCGCTCCGCTTCCGATCCGGCAGCCCAACACCGGGCCATACAAAAAGCAAGCCTTCCCCATCATTTCTAAACGACCAGAGCACTTGCGCATGAATCTATGACGAATCAACAGCAGTCCTTTCCCCGAACCTGCTTGGGCGACAGCAGAAGATAAGGACAAATCTCTCCAAGGGCAGCGGTGCCTCCCCCCACCGCCAAAAGATGAGACCTCTTGTGGCTTTTTTTCTCAGTGATGGTATCAAGTCAGTCATTGCACAGAATAACGGACTGGAAAAGAAAAACGAAAACCATGGATTCCCCCTGCTTGCCTGCCTGCCTCCTTTCTCTCTCCCCCCCCGTTCCCCCCTCCCTCCTTTGAATCAATGGTGCGCAAAGACAGGACTTGAGCAAAAACGGTATTACGTAACTTAGGCACAGCAGCTAACAGACATGCAGTGTGGCATCTTTTCCGCTCTGTCAAGGATTTTTCAAGTCAATCACTTGAAGCTAACAGTCTGGAGAGTAGACTCATGCTCCTGCGTGGTTCTGTCACCAGGGGAGTCTGTGTCCCTGGGCAAGCGTGCAGAACGCCAGCCTGGCCCTTTCTACCTGAGGATTTAATCCCACCATGCTCCTTCAGGTGGCTTCCTGCAATTTTAAGATTGGAGGTTGAAGACTAACTCCAACCGTTAGGATTCCACATGCAAAAACAATCTAAATGAATCTTTTTTTTAAAAAAAAAGTTATATATATAAATATATTTTTCAACTAGTTTTTTTCCCCTTTTTAGAAGGGGCTCTGTAAAGTATCCCAGAGTTGGAACATACAGAATTATTGATTTACTGAAGCAAAGAGAGAACAAAAAGCAGACTTACATTTCTTATCATATTAAAATAATGGTTTTGTAAAAAATAAATCACTGTTAATTATGTTACCAAGATTGGTGGGATAAGAATTTACCCTCTTCATCTTGTTTAAATGCTTTTTTTTTTTTTGTTATTTTAAAAATGATCCCAATCAGGCTGTTGGCTGTGCTAAAATCTTGGCTAGTGCGGAAGTCCTGTATTTTGATCTGAGGTCTTCATGAAGTTTTCCCCAAGCTTGGTTTTGCCCTGCTGGTCTGGAGTTCTGTGGATGCGTTGAGTCCAGTTGTATTGTCCTGTATTCTCATCCTTCTGAGCAGAAATCTGCTAGTAGAAACTTCATCTCTGTTTTATGCTGGTTATATAGTTTGCTCAAGACCCCGGCATGTGCTAAGGAGGGTTAAACCTGTCGCAAAGGGGGCGCAAGCAAGGCAGCTGTCGCATTGCTTTAGCGGATGGCTATCATTTTTTTAAATGTACGTTTCTGTTGGTTTTGCAGCCAAATGGTAATGCTTGGAAGAGATGGCTTTACCCCATATTTGCTCCATTGCTCATCTCTGTGATGGATTACCATAACGTCTATGCTGGGGCAAGCCATCTGTTGATTGTATTGAGAAAAGAAACATGAACAAGTATTACGATGGCCTTCAATGAATGTCTTCCAGAGAACTTTTGCAACTTAATTTTAGGAAATGTTCAGAAGATTTACTATTTATGTTTCCGCGATTGTTATTGAAGAAAAAAAAATCTGTACAAATGACTATACCATACAGGTACAAAGAATTAAATAAAGGTATCTTTACCTTAACTTAAATACTTCCTGCCTTAAAGAAAGCATTTCCATGGCTACAGCTGGTGAAAGGGTTAATTATGGTCCACAGAGCTTTACTCTAGCGTAGAGTGTGGGTGAGTGGGTGGGTGTGAATTGTGCAACAGGGTGCACGTCCTTTTGCTGTTTTCTCCTGCTTGTTACACCTGGTCTGTCTGCAAACTTGGCTACTTAGAAATAGGCTTTTTGGGGTGCTTTTATTTCGATTCTCTCCTCGAGCCATAGGATCTGAGCCATAACTATGTTTTTATTTAAACCCAGCCAGAGCCTCTTCTGTGGATTCCCCTCCCCAGCTGTGCCTCCAGACTTCGCCTCCAGGCCATTCCCAAAGCCACAGGCTGCGTTAAGGGAAGGGCGGGACGGTGAGCAAAGCCCGGCTGGAGTTGCCGCCGTTCAGCGTCGTATTGTCGACCTTTGGCTTCCCCCGTAGGAGCGAAATGAAGTTAAGGAGACAATCCGGGAAATGAAAGTCCCGCAGAAAAGGAGGGGTGACTCTGCTTTTGGTCTATCTGGAGCCTGTTCAAACGTTAGGTTACCGAACGTGAGATTTAATTCCTGTGGACCAGCCATTTCATAGGCTCAAATCAGTTTTGCATTGCCCGCTTCAAAACGAGACCCTTCCCCATGCCCCAAAGCATTAATCCATGACATGTGGATAGCGAGACATTTTTGGATTAGGGTAGGGTCTGGGGGCGAGCTGGACGAGAGGTTTTCCACCTGCTCTTCTGCCATGGGCGTCTGCACGGGATTTCGTGCATGACACAAAAGCCCTTTAATGCCAGCACACCTAATCGTGGTGTTCCTTCCTTTGCAGGGGGATAATAGCACAAGTGGGGAAGGGTCTGAAAGTGAAGGTTGTGCAGAAGGAAGGGGAGGGAGACTCAGGTGTGTCGTCCTCAGGCCCACGAAGACCGTCATTGCCTTGGTGAGGGTCTCAAACAGGCCCAGGACAGGGGCTGGTGTTTCCTTGTGTTTTTCAGGGTCGTTGGAAAATCCAGTTAGGGTTGTTGGCTGGCACTGTGGCTCTCGAGGCCTTTAGTGGTGGCAGGTGGAGTTTTCCTTGCCTGGACCATGAAGAAGGTGCAATTCCTTCCTGAGGAGGCATGCCCAAACCCTGTGGAAGCCGGATTAAGAGCGGTGCAGGACGCTGACTTCTCAGCGTTCAGGGCTTCCCCCTCTCGCGGCTGGCTCCGATCTCCTTGCCCGTGTTGTTTGCTCTTGCTCTGAGGGGTTAGCAGAGAAAGGCTGGCAGAGTATTGGATGCAATGGAGTCATTTGCTAGACATTAGTTTCATGTGCCCTTTTTGTCTTGAAACTGTGAAAAATTTTGGAATTGCAATTTGGGACAGTAAGTGCACACTATGCAATTTGGGTGATCTCGTATTTATTTGTATAAAGAATCAATTTCCCAACCTGGATTCTTGCCCTTCTTGTATATAGCTGTTACGTCAACTTCAGAGGGAGTGTAATTCTCTTGTATGACAACAGAAACGGCGACCACATTTGGAATGGCTATTGGAGAAATTAAGTGCTTTCTTTAACAATGTCTTAAAAGGTTTTCATTGGGGTATAGTAATTAAGATTTATTTTATACAAGCTGTGCTTTTTTAATTATAATCTTGGGGTTTTGCTATCATTTGATTTTTATAGATTTTTGTATCATTATATAAAAAGAAATAACTGGGATTAATACCTGCTGAAGCTAACAACATATATTAAGTATTAAATCTTGATGACTTGAACCATGTTTTCTTTCCACTAGATCTGTTACTGAAATCAGTGCTGATTGTATTCTATAGTTTGCTTTGAGGAATAAGGAAATAATTAGAACAGCTGGGCTTGTCTAACATTTGGAGGCAGAGCAGAACCAAGTGAGGCATTTGATCACTCTGTTGGCCATCTGTGGGCATGCATGCTGCTGGTATGCCAACCTGTTTTGGGTGCCATCTGCCATTAGCTTCCCTCAGGCACCATGGGTCACAACATCCCTTGTGTTCTAACCAAGCTCAGATGAACATGCTCAAGTCCACAGTGTTATCTTGTTCTGATGAGCTTGGGAGAGTACAGGTGTGTTAGAGGAACAGTTAAAGTTCCAGGCTTGCAGTTCTGCCCATCTTCGCTTTCCTAGAAGGTCCATAGGTGGCAATCTTTAGGAAGGGAAGAGATGATCTCCTTCCCCAGCCTGAGGCCACCTACTCCTATCAGTTTTGACCAGCAGGGCTGCAGAAGTCTCTTCTTATGATCAGGTGACCAGGATATTACAGGACTCAAGTGGCCAACAAGCTGGTGGTCAGAAGTGGATTAGTGGGGTCCACTCCCTCCCCTACCATGTTGACCCAATGTCTGCATAACCTGCATTGGTGCAGTAGGAGAAAAAGGGGAGAATTCTTGTCTGGGTATGTTTTGAATAATCTAGGACTGCTGTGTATGCACGTTGGAAGGGCAGCAGCTGTTTAAAACTGGTTCAGATTGTATTTTCTCTGTCGTTTCTGGCCATAAGGTGCAAATCTGTCTACCAGCACCAGTAATCTGCAAGGAAGGGCAAATGCTTGTTAGCCCCTGTTGGAGTAGAAGCTGCGTGCTGGACGTGTCAATGACAACAAGTGAGTGCTGCTCTCCTTCTCTAAGTCAGCATACTAATAGTCCATGTAGCATATATCTTAAGTTTTTGGAAGGAGGAGACAGAGGATGCAGGTTTCATTTTAGCTATCTTACCCAGTGTATCTTCAGAAATTAAAATTTCTGCACCCTAGTGACTGGTACTTTGGGGAAAGGGGGGAAGAGCTCAGTAAAGCGATGCACAATGACGACTTTTCACCTGTACACTTTTTAAGACCATGTTCTTTCTGCAAAACTTTAGCTGGCTGTGTTAACCATCCATTATGAATCCGACTACAGCTGCCTTACAAGGAATGGTATGAGGGTTATTACCTCATTCTGTACTATTTACTGTAATAAAATATACTTGATTTCAAAACAGATGGGTGTAAATAGCAATTAAATGCAACTTTGAACAAATGATTGAATAGTGATTTCTTTATTTCTTGCTCTTTAAGGGAGAAACTTGGTTTCCAAGCCAATCTAAAGTGCTCTGTACCAAGAGAGAAATGTTAGGCTTCTAAAGGCAGGTTTGTGCAAGGTGCAGCTAAACAGTAGCTGTGGGGAAAGGTAGATGTAGCTAATTAAAAAGTAAGGTATTCTCACCAAATAGTCATTTGAAGTAATATGAGAAACCCATTATTGATTGTGAATAAGGTAGCATGCTTCTGACTGTTTGCATTATGGACAAACCCGTGATGAAGCTGTCTTGATTTTGGCTTCCTGGATTGTGATGAACTCAGCCACTGAACCTGAGTCAATTATGATTTGTTAGTAAACCACAGTGTAATACAATCAAATCCATTCAGAATCCAGTCCTTACACACTTCAGGTTGCTGCAGAGTGAAGTAATATACAGATCAGACATGGGGTACAGATTTCTTTGGAATCCAGATGTTGAGGCCAAATTGTTTTGCGCAACAAGCCTAATACATTAAGGCCAACAGCTGCTCTATTCTGGTAGCCCCAACAGTTGGAATTTGGTTACACCATTCCCAGTGCAATTCATGTGAATAATTGTGACCAACCTTTAGGCTGCCTTTAACTTTTCTTTCAGCATGAGACTGTTCTTCAAGTCAAGATAGTGCTCTGATGTGTTGGGTTTAGTGCTCGCCTGTTCCTTGGTCACAAGTGAATTCATGTCATCATACGTATAAATGCAGAAACATGTATTTATAAATACGTAAAAGGTTTAATATAAAAATCACAGGCCGATAGATTCAAACTGCATTTATTTTCATCAACTATATGCTACATTTTTTTAAAGTATCACTAAAATACAGCTTTCCTCTTTAGTAAAAATCTAGCTGCTTTTGATAAAATATAGACCAAATCTTTGTTCTCTAAAATTCAGACTTACAAAAGTAGAAAATTCATCCACATTTGCATAATTGAAATTGAGATTTATGGAAATGGAAAGCAGAAGGCATTTCATGATTCTCACCATGTGATGGCCGGTTACGATGATCACGGCATCCAAGAGGACAAACACGTCAAATCCTATAAGGTAGATTCTCTCGATCAGAATCTAAAGATTGCGCACACTAGATGCTGTATGGGGTGCACTAAAGCAGGGTTCCTCAACCTCAGCAACTTTAAGATTTAACTCCCAGAATTCTGGGAATTGAAGTCCACCCATCTTAAAGTTGCTGAGGTTGAGGAACCCCGCACTAAAGGGATCCCTTTGTTGATTTGGTAGCAAACTGATGGTAAAAAAATCCGTGATACTCAGAAGTTTGAGAATTTCCCCGAAGCAGCATTGAAAGGGCTAATTCCATATGGAAACTTAAGAAGTACTTGTGGTTGGTATCTGAACGAATTCAAATACTGTTGTGGAGGGAACATTCAAGGCATTATTCCTTCTGCACCCCATTCTCCTTCCAGTCCCATCCTCTAAAACTGGCATGCCTGGCATTCAAATGAGTCCATAGTGTGAAGCACACAGCCGGTTTTTTTTTCTTTTTAAGTTTGTTTAATAGAGTTGTAATTGTGCAGAGGTTGCCCCATCGTACCACTTGTTGACGTGACTGGAAAGAACAGTTCGACAGAGCGGACATGTCTTCTCTCTGTTAAGCCACAGAGCGATGCATTCTTCACAAAATATGTGCTGAAAGCAGACGGGATGCTTTGGTTACAGGCACATACAAACATTAGGGAAACAATTAGAGTGTTCGGTTTACTCAGTCCTTATCTCTCGGAACGGATTCTAGGCTATGCATGGCTTAAAAAGCTGTTTCCACTCAACCATTACTAGGTAATGCCAGAGGTGCTCAGCTAAATCAAACCAATAAACGTGTGAAGCAAGAACTGGAACAACGGATATCAGCCAAACTCTTAAAACATCTCATCCTCCGTTATCCACACAGCTACTTTGAATCAGCAGCTTACAAACCCCAATTTCCTCAGCATGGTTAAGAAAAATATTGGTTTAGAAGTGCATGCAGTTTTATTGGGCAGGGTCAACATTTCTGTGTGCTGAATGCCTAGATCTGGAAGGCCAATGCTGGGCCACAAGGCTTCTCTGCCATTATTTTGAACTTACTAATGGGATCCAAAAAGACCTTTTAGATACTTCCAATTTGTTTGAAAACTCAGTTTCAGAACTGGTAATGCTTATGCGCTGGTCAGAATGCTTGGAGGTCAAAAGTCAACACTTAAGAGGCTCCAAATATTTGCAACACTGAATAAATAACTATTAGGTGCTGAAGATTTCACTTGTTACGGAAGTGCTGTTAAGATGAGAACTGCACGCAGGCACACAAGCTAGTCTTCTAATTTCTTATCCCATCTGCTAGTCTTTAGTCACAGTAGTGTGATGTGTGGCTTAGGGGCATTTGACTGTTTCTGAGTGTTACCTGGCAGAGGAGGACAACCGGCTTCTGAAACTCAGCTTGACAAATTGAGCAAAGATCATCTGCTTCAGCACGCTGTCTCTTGCTGGCCACTACTCCATAGCTCTACAAAGTGAGGAGGAAAAGTGAAATAACTTCAGATGAGCTGGAGAGAAAAGGAGAATATTAGTTTCCAGCTCCACAGGGGTTCCCCTGACCCAGAGTTACCCTCCTCTTTTGCTCACCTTAAGTCCAGGTTCCATTTTTTTTTTAATTATTATTTTGCAGCCTCTACTAAAAATACAGAAAAGATCCTCCTGGACAAAGATCAGAAGAGGCTCCAAGTATTTGGCCTGTACATTTCTGGACTTTCCAAAGCAACTGTGAGGGTATGATTAATTTTATTGATAAAAGGATAGGACTTTCAGTTGCCATCTTCTTTATTAACATAAGACCATGTGCTCACATGAGAGAGCTGACGCACACACAACATGTATCTTTGCAATACTCAGAATTTTTATCGTATACCGCCCAGAGTCATGTTTTGTGAGGTGGGCAGCTATATAAATGTGATGAGTAAATAAATAAACCAGAAGGCCATACAGCAAAGCTTGGCTGGAGGTCTACCTGCCAAGCAATTCCTTCCAACTGCTTTTATGAGTTTATTCATCACCCTCTATGAGCAACAGACGTATCTATCACAATAAATAAAAAAAATTTAAAAATCTGTCCCCAAAATAATTGCCCCCAGCCATTATATTAGTATTATAATCCTATA